TCGCCGCCTCGCTGGCCCAGCACATTTCGGGCGACGAGATCCGTACATATCCACTGCCCCACGCCTGGCCCGTCCTGGGCCCAGGAGCGGTGTATGCACCCTTCTGGCATGGCCAGCCATGGAGGCATATACATCGCTCTAAGGCTCAGGATGGGCATGGCCTGGGGCATATGATACATGTATATGTGTACATACGTATGTATATATATGTAGGTATTGGTGTATGCATGTAAATATGTATGCCTATATGTATGTTTGTATGTCTGTATGTCCGTATATGTATATATATATATATATATATATATGTATGTCTGTATGTCTGTCTGTATGTACGTATGCATGTATGTATGTATGCATGCATGCATGCATGCATGTATGTCTGCATGGATGCATGCATGTGTGTATGTATATGTGTGTATATGTGTGTATATATGTATGCGTGTATATTTATAGATATGTATGAATGCATGCGTATATGCATGCATGTATATATGTATGCAATGTGTATAATGTATGTAATGTATGGATGTGTGTGTGTATGTATGTATGTACGTATATGTCTGTATGTATGTGTGTGTATGTATGCATGTATGACTGCATGCATGTATGTATGCATGCATGCATGCATGCATGCATGTATGTATGTATGTATGCATGTATGTATGTATGCATGTATGTATGTATGTAGGTATGCATGCATATATGCATGCATGCATGCATGCATGCATGCATGCATGCATGTATGCATGCATGTATGTATGTATGTATGTATGTATGTATGCATGTATGTATGTATGTATGTATGTATGTATGTATGTATGTATGCACGCATGTATGTATGTATGCATGTACGTATGTACGTATGTATATATGTAGGTAGGTAGGTAGGTATGTATGTAATTTTGTGTGTATGCATGTCTGTATGTATGTCCTTATGAATATATGTGTACACCAAACAGTGCTTGCATCCAGGGATTCTTACTTCTGTTTTAAGGAACTGGGATAGTGTGTCGGTCTGGCGGCTATGTTGTCTCCGTCGCCGCCCCGTCGCCGCCTCGTCGCCGCCCGTCGTCTTGGCCGGTGTGGCTGCCGCCCCGTCGCCGTCCGGTCGCTGCCTGGATTCTCTTTGCGACGAGAGTCTTGGGAACTACACCCCCCCCGTCTTCCTTTGCGTATTGCAATTTACATACGATGCAGCCTCATCGTCAATCCTCATGAATTCATACCGCCCCAGCTAAATTGGTATTCCCCTCATCCCACCTAAATTGGTATCCCAGCTAATTATGCGCGCACACCTCTCGCGCGCGCATGTCGAAATCGCTAGAATTCCCTTGCGCGCGTGCTGTCGCAGTAATCCCTTGCAGCAAATGGGACGACGTGCGCATGCGCGTCGTCGCGCGCGCATGCCGTATTCCTTCAGCAACCTTAATTTCCCTACGGATTTCAAATCGAGTGTCCCGAAGACATATCAGACACATGACTTTGAAACATCAGTTTTTAAAGAAAGCATGTGGTCGCGCTCTTGCGCGCCTTTGCGCGCCTGCTGGGGGATCACGATCCGTGCGAAATCATACAGTGCGGGCCACACTCGCGCGTCGGCCGCCCGCGCACCTCGAACTCCTTCCAGGACCTTCAACACCGACGCGAGGATGCCGTGCTAGTCTTCGGCGTGATAACATCGGCGCCGTCACTGGCCTTGCCGTCATCGATGCCACCATCGGCACCAGCATCGCTGCTATCATCACCGTGTCTATCGTTGTCGACGTTGCCAAGATACCGCGCCCGCCCAAGCCTCCGACTCGCACTGAATTGCCCGCTGGGAAGTGCCCAGCGGTCAGCGCCACCGCGGCCGCGTCGGCCGCGCCAAACTAGCTGGCCGTTGCGCGCGCGAGCATGTGCGGGCTAGCGCGGCCGCAGAGATGCACCAGCCAACATCAAGCAATCATCGCAATCGCCGCCGCATGGGTTTTGCAGACCAAGTTGCGGGGGGGTGGGTGGGATGATTGCGCGAGCGTTGGAGTTGACAGCTTCAGCTTCATGCTCGGCAGGGTGACTTGCACCGCATAGATTGCGCCACATATATTCTCCTTTCTAAAAGACTAATAAATTCTACCCCCCCCGGACTTATCGGCTCCCCCGCGCGTGCTGTAAATCACATATGATTCTGACCACATGTCCATCCTAAATATGAATTCGTACCATCCCAGCCAAGCCGGTTTCCCCCCCCCTGCGGTTCCTTGTCAAATAACACTATGCGGGGACATTTTTTTCTAACATAACACTTTTTTTTCACGAACCTCTGTCAAATAATACCATGCGGGACACATTCGCGCGCGCAAAGCGAAATCTTTCCAAAACCTTAGTGTTCGTAGCGATTTTAACATAAAAACATAAAAAAACAAAACCCAATGGTTTTTCAAAAAGAAAGTTTCAAACATTCACCCCGCGCGGTCTTGCGGATTCCTAGGAAACCCACTACTGTTTCAACATTTCTGTCAAAAGGGCTCTTGCGAGCAACTTGTTCCTGCGCTTCGAACTTCTTCAACAACGGCTGCGCGCCTGCCAGGGGCATAATCCTTGTCAAATAATGCCATGCTGGACACATTCGTTTTTTCTTCGCGCGCGCGCGCCGAAATCTTCAAAAACCATTGGGTTTCTTGAGCATTTCAGCACTGCGTATCATAAAAACACACGAATCGCACCGTAGGTCCTCGAAAACAACCTGCACGGATTTTCAAAATTTTGCCAGCTCGCGCTGTCCGAACCTTACAAAACCAATGTTTTTTCAACATTTCGGTCGCACGAGCTCGTGCGAGCTACTTTCGCGCGCTCCTTCAACGACGTTCGCGCGCCAGCCAGGGCCACTGTCCGTGTCAAATAATACCATGCGGGACACATGCGCGCGCGCCGTCGTCGTCGTCGTCGTCGTCGTCGTCGTCGTCGTCGTCGTCGTCGCCGTCGTCGTCGTCGTCGTCGTCGTCGTCGTCGTCGTCGTCGTCGTCGTCGTCGTTGTCGTCGTCGTCGTCGTCGTCGTCGTCGTTGTCGCCGTCGTCGTCGATGTCGCTGTCGTCGTCGGCGTCGGTGTCGTGGCCAAGTGACATGTGGTACCTACCGTCACGGTCTTGTCTGAAGAGAACTTGCGACCAAGTTGCGGGTGGGAGGGTGGGATGTTTGCACGAGCAGTGGAGAGGACAGCTTCAAGACGGTCAAGATTAGCTGCACATCGTAGATTGCACCGCGAACGGTTTCATCACGTCCAGTGACCGCATCGATTGCGCACCACGTGAATTGCACCAGGTATATTGCACCACGTATACCGAATACCATAGATCCCATATCATAGATGGCACCACGTAAATTTCACGACGTACACTGAAACATCTATATAGATACATATATATCGTTCCACTGATGTTACCCAACATCGATCGCACACCGTACAGTGCACGACGTAGAGTGCATAATATACATATATATATATACATATATATATATATTTATAGAGTGTGCCATGCATGTAACAACACCTATTCCACAGACGTCACACAACCTAGAAACACACTGTTTGGAGTTTACGCTGACTAACATTTGCGCATCTGTATACACACATACGCGCGCATTCCCCAAGCAGTGCTTGCATTTAGGGGTCTTTATTTTTTTCTAAGGAGCGGGGCCTTCGGGCCGCTCTGGCCGCCATGTGGCTTTCGTCGCCGCCTCGTCGTTGCCGGGCGCCGCCCGTCGCCTGGGTCTGCAGGCCGCTCTTGCCGTCATGTGGCCGCCATCGCCGCCTCGTCGCCGCCCGTCGCATGGGCCTGCGGGCGGCTTTGGCCGTCATGTGGCTTGCCGCCGTCGCCGCCTCGTCGCCTCCCGCAGCCTCGTCGCCCGCCGCATTGCGTTGCGTCGCATTGCTTCTCATTGCTTCGCAACGGCTTGCATTGCTTCGAATTGTTTTGCGCTGCTTTGCACTGCATTGCTTTGCGTCGCGTTGCATTGCGTTGCATTGCTTTGCGTTGCTTTTCATGGTTTTGCATGGCTCTTCATTGCCTCGTTGCTTCGCGTTACATAGACTGCAGTCACATATGACATCGCATATCTTGCACTGCGTCGATCGCACCACTCAGATTGCACCACTTAGATTGCACCACGTAGATGCACCACAGACATTGCCCCGCACTTCTGCGCAACGTAGTTTGATAGAACACACCTTTTGGGGTCCACGCTGGCTAACACACAATATATAGGTGTACATATCGATCTCACCGCCCAGACATCTTCCGGCAACACGACGACCTGGTCGATGGTCAGCGCCTCGCGCCTGCCTTCCTGTGGGTCCTGCGAGACTTCGCGCTGGCGCTCGAGGACCTTGCCGGCAACAAGATCACCGCGCAGCAGTATATGGAGGGCATCCTCACGCCCGGGGGCGCAGCCGTAGATGCCGCCGCCCCTCCGGGTGTCGACGGCGCGTCGTGGCAGGGCCACCGGGAGGCGAGGGCGACGATCAGGGAACTCTTCCCCGAGAGGGACTGCGCCACGCTGTGCTTGCCAGTGGAGGACGAGGAGCAGCTGCAGGTGCTCGGGCAGATGAAGCTGGACGAGATGAGACCGAAGTTCGCTAGGCAGGTGGGCGAGCTGCGCTCCAGGGTGTTGCAGGGCTGCCCGGTGCTGCGGGCGCCAGGCGGGGAGATGGCCACGGGGGGCGCGTGGATCGCGCTGCTCCAGTCCCACGTCGAGGCCATGAACGCCGGCGGCGTGCCCAAGCTCGGCTCGGCGTGGCAGCACGTGTCGGAGCAGGAGTGCGCGCGGGCGCTGGAGGAGGCGATGCGGGCGTTTTCGGCCGCCACGCTCGGCCTGGCGGCCTCCTTCCCGACCGGCGAGGAGGAGCTGGACCTGGTCTTCCAGCACGGCCGGGCGTCGGCCATGCAGCGGTTTGCCGAGGTCGCGCTGGGCGACGGCCGGGCGCGCGAGGACTTCCTGGCCGACCTGGAGCGCGAGCTGCAGGAGTCGGCCTCGCGCCTCCGCAGGGAGAACAGGGACGCTGCTCTGCGGGCCAACGAGGCGTGGCTGAGGCAGAGGCTGGAGCGGGACTTCGAGGGCAAGTTCCGCGACTACCAGCACCGCTTCGACACGGGCACGCTGACCGTCGAGGCCTGCAAGGAGGCCGAGACGGTGCTGACGGGCAAGCTGAAGCTGCTGCGGGCGGCCTACATGGAGGAGGCGGTGGGCCCGGAGGAGGCCATTGTGGAGGCCGTGGAGCGCCTCCTGGTCCAGCGCCAGGAGGCGCTCCGGCGCGAGCTGGCGGCCTGGCACCGCGCCGCCTCCCGGAAGGGCCGCCAGGGCGCCGGCGGCGCGGCGGCTCCTGGGGACGTGCACCTCCGCGAGAAGGGCGGCCGGCGCGGGCGTGGGCCCGGGGCCGGCGAGCCGGGCGAGCAGCCCAAGTGCTGCACGAGCGAAATGGGTACGGAAAAAATGGGTACAATGCCCAACAGCAGTTCCTGTTCCTTTTGAACAGGACTCGCTGTCCGCACCGCCGCGGCCTGTGTCCATTTGAGACAGGAGGCCGCCTGCCCAACAGCGGCCGCTGTCGGTTTGAGACAACATGTGTTGTTGGGCATTGTACCCATTCTTTCCGTGCCCATTTCGGGCGTCCAAACAGGTGCTGCGCGGTCCAGTGAGCGGCACGGCACCCCCGCGAGGGGCTGGCACAGGGCGGCTGCCCCTGCTTGGCGGCGTGCACCCCTGCGGGGAGGCGGGCGGGGGGCGCGGGCGGCGAGCCTCGGCGGCCATGCTGCAGGTGCTGCGCCTCCGCAGTCGCTGCCCTGCCCTTCCAAGGCCGTCGGGGCACCGTCTGCCAGCCGCCTCGGCTCTGCCGCGCGCCTGCCATCCAGTGTGTGTGTGTGTGTGTGTGTGTTTGTGTGATCTGGGCTGGCCGCGCGTCTCTCCGCCCGACCCTTGATTACTCCGTCGCGCTGCTTCCCGCGTGGCCGCGACGCCAAACTGTGTGTGTGTGTGTGTGTGTGAGCGTGCGTGTACGGATCCAGCTTCTCCACGCTGCGCGAGCTTGCCTGGTCCGCGCTTTCCCGCTTGATTATCCCTACGCCGCGCCGCCGCGCGCGTGGGCGCGACGCCAAAAGTGTGTGTGTGTGCGTGTGTGTGTGTGTGTGTGTGTGTGTGTGTGTGTGTGTGTGTGTGTGTGTGTGTGTGTGTGTGTGTGTGTGTGCGTGCGTGCGTGCGTGCGTGCGTGCGTGCGTGCGTGCGTGCGTGTGTGTGTGTGTGTGTCTGTGTGTGTGTGTGTGTGTGTGTGTGTGTGCGTGCGTGCGTGCGTGCGTGCGTGTGTGTGTGTGTGTGTGTGTGTGTGTGTGTGTGGGTGGGTGTGGGGGTGCGTGCGTGCGTGCGTGCGTGCGTGCGTGCGTGCGTGCGTGCGTGCGTGCGTGCGTGCGTGCGTGCGTGCGTGCGTGCGCACGCGTGCTTCTGCCCGCCCTCCGGCAAAAGACCCGTGGGGCGCACTGTCTTAGCATCCTTGCTCCGACCCTCGGGCCACAGGCTTGGGTCGCACGGCGGTCCCCAGCCGAACGACAAGAGCACCTCCTGGCCCTCCCGTCTCCCTCTCCCCTCCCCCCTTTTCCGCAGTGACACCACGTCTGGAAGTGCTCGTCTCCTCTCGTTCTTCGCAGCGCGTGAGTGTGCTCCCACCTTTCCCGCGCGCCCCCGTCTGTCTGATTGCGCATCGCACGATGGGGCCATCTGGGGAGTCCGGGTCTTCTGGGGCACCACTGGTCGGCGGACAGGAACAAACATCGAATTCGGCGCACTGGGAGGCCACAGGTGGGAGCGCCAGGGTGCATGATGTGGCGCATCCAGCTCGCCTTTCCCCTCTCTCCTCCCTCTCCTCTTCCCTCGTCCCTGTTCCAATCGAAAGTGGCCCACCCTGAACACCACCCTTCTCTCTCACCTGACCACGTGCAGCGCGCTAGCTAGTCCGCTGCTCCCGCCCAGTTTCGCTGTCAGGATTTCCCAGTGTCTTTGTTTTCTCGCCACTCGGGGCACCTTCGATCGCTCGAAGTGGCCGGCGCCTGCCGCACTCGTGTGCCTCTGGAGCTAACCCTGGTGTGGGTGTTTCTCTGTGTTTTTTGCACTTTTTTTTTCTCACTCTTTTTCTTTTTTTTGTTCTCTCTCTCTCTCTCCCTCTCTCTCTCTCCCTCTCTCCTTCTCTCTCTGTCTCTTTCGCTCTCTCTCTCTCTCTCTCTCTATATATATATGTTTTTGTTTTGGGTTTCTCTCTCGCTCTCTCTCTCTCTCTCTGTCTGTCTCTCCTGCCCGCTTGCAGGGCGCTGGCCTGGCAGGGGGAGGCGGCGGGGTGGATGAGGGGTGGCGGGCAGGGCGAGGACGAGGATCGAGCGCCCGAGGGCCGATCCAGTCCCAGCACGCCGGCAGAGGGAACGCTTTTCAGGAGAGGAGAAAACACACAGACACAATTAATCGTCGATTCCCCAGAAAATATGGGAAAATATGGGAAGCGGGGGGGAAGATGAAAACCCCACAAATATAGGAACATATGGGGAATCCTTTTATTTGCGTGCATTTATTAGTGTGGCCTGGGGCCCCTTCAGCTTTGGCCCACGAGGGGGCTCCGGTTTCTTGGCCGCTGCTCGGCCCTGGGCCGCGGGGACCTGCCCGTGGCCCGGCCTTGCCGCGGCCGGAAGCGCCCCTTCGTCTTGGCATCGCTCGGACGTGTGCATTTTTCTTCCTGCGAGCACCATCGAGGAGCATCCTTGATCATTTGGCGAACAAGCCACGCACGAAGCCGAAAAAAACACAGGGAGTGGACGTCCGAGCGATGGTGAGTCGTTCGCCGCGTGCAGCGCTCCTCTCGGGCGATCGCAAGAGCACGGATCAAGGGGGGCGGCGTGGATCGGCGACGGGCCCCGTTTCCAGGGGAGCCCGCGGCTCTCCGCCACCGAGCGGGGCGGCACTGGCCGCATTTTGGGGAGGGCGCCTCCCCTGATCCGTGGAGTTGGCGAGCGCGCGCCAGATCCGTGGATCGCTAATCCATGCTTGCGCGCCCCCGATCCTTGTGGTAGCATTCAGTCGGGCCTGTCCCTCTACAGGGGGGATGTCCAAAAAGAGCCAAAAAATAGTCGGGGGGCGATATTTTGGATATATTTTTGATTATTTGGAGGGGTATTTTTGTGAGCATTTTTAACTTTTCGCCCAAAATCTCCCTGGGGGGGGACACGCCCGACTTAGTGGTCGCAGGAGGGCGCAGCGCGATGGCTGCACATCCAGGGGCCCGGGCCGTGCGCGCACGGCCGGCTGCCGCCAGCTCCGCGCAGGCAGCCCCGCGGCCGCCCCCCCTTCGAGGCCCGGGGCGCCCCGCGCCCCCCCCCCCCCCCCTATCGGCAACACCCCAACAGACTTATACTATATGTGCGTCGCCCTCCCAGGGGCGACGCGCGCACCGAGGAATCTTATAGTATATGCGTTGTGGCGGGCGCATTCTGGCCACACCGCTCGGGAAACGATATACTACAAGATGGGTATACTATATGTTCGGGTCGGACGCGCGCGTCCAAGGATGACATATAGTACTAGTACGTCTTTGTGCATCCCCCCCTAGGGCGGGGGCCCCGGAGGCTGCAGCTGCCCTCTATAGCGGGGCCGCGGGTCCGCCAGAGGGCGTGTGGCTGAGGGCCTTTTGCCCTCGAGGACTGCAGGCCTTGCCTTCGAGGAGCGACCGCGTTGCCATCTCTGCCTCGGCGGGAGGCGGCGGAAGGCGGCGGACGTAGAGAACGAGGCCGGCGGAGGGCCGGCGGAAGGCGGCGGAAGCAAAAGATGCGCCCCCAAGAGATGGCAGCATTTTTGGGTTCAGGGTTTCCGAAGTCGGCTTCAAGGGCGGGCGGGCTAGAGGCCGCTGGAAAGTGATGGCGAGCACTATTACAATCTACCTCGGGCCAGCACACAGGATGATGAGGAGGATGAGAACATATGACAGTGGTAGTGGTGGTTGTGGTGGTTGTTGTGGTTGCGGTGGTGGAGGAGGAGGAGGACGAAGAGGAGGCGGAGGCGGAGGAGGAGGAGGAGCAGGAGGAGGAGGAGGAGGAGGAGTCGGAGGGAGCTGGGAGGATGGGGGAGGACGGAGGAGAAGGGATGGATGATGCATGCTGATAGAGGAAGAGGATGACGGGGGGGAGTGGGCGTATAGTGAGGCAGAGGAGGAGCTGGAGGAGGCGGAGGACGAGGAGACAGGGGCGAGGGAGGAGGGAGGAGAAGGAACAGGATGACGGGTGAGGGCGGGGGAGGACGGCGAAGCAGGGATAGGGGGAGGGGAGGAGGATGAGAACGGAGCAGGGCGGAGAGGACATCGCGGAGGATGGCAGGGCCCTGGGCCCCCCCCCTCGGATTCAGGACCTTCCGCGACGCCTTCGGGCAGCCCCGCTTTGTGGAGCTGCAGGCTGCGCGGACGCTGCCCTCGCCGCCCGCCTCCGCCTTCCTGCGCCCGTGCTCGCTCGCTCCCCTCGCGCCCTGGCGGCAGACTCTCCTAGGCGGCGCGCCGTGGGGGGAAGCGGGAGGGGGGCAGGTCTTCTCGTGAGGCGGCGGTGCTACTCGGGAGCCCGCGCTCTGCCCGAGAAGCCGCGTGCTTCGTCGGAGAAGGCCCAGGAAAGTTCCCGATACTTCATGAGGCGGCCCGCGCCCTCTGCCTCTGCCCCCCCCCGGGGCGAGCCGCCGAAGCTCGGCAGCGGCGCCGGCCGGCGATGGCGGTGGCAGCGGCTCGGCTTTGGGGCCCGCCGCCACGGCTGTGGGCGCGGCTCGGAGAGAGAGAGAGAGAGGGAGAGAGAGGGAGAGAGAGAGAGAGAGAGAGAGAGCGGGACTGGTGCCCAGGGAAGGGGCCCAGGGATTGGCCTCGAGCAGCTCTTCGTCAGGGAGGGGTTCTCACATCCGGGCGCCACGAGACGGCAGAAGAGGCACGATTGGCGTTCCGTCCCCGCCCGCTCTTCGCTCCAGGGCCCTCGCGGACAGATCCGCCTCGAGAGTCATGCGGGCGTTGGCAGAAAGACAGATCGGCCGATATTCGGTCGTCTTCGGAAGTCGGGCCTGTCCCTCTACAGGGGAAACTTTCAAAAATAGTCAAACATATTACAGGGACAACTTCTTACTATTTTTGAATATTTCTGGATCATTTTTGGGGCATTTAAAGTTATCCTCCAAAATCCGCCTGCAGGGGGACCTGCCCGACCGAAGACTGGTGCTGTCGGCGATCTGGGGAACGCGCCAGTCTCCCCGCAGGTGAGGCCGAAAGAGGCCACGGGGCCCCCTACGAGGGTCCGCGAGCGTGGTCGTCGCCGTCGTCGTCTTCGTCGCCCCCCCCCCCCCCCGTAGGCAGTCGTCTTTGTCGTCTTCGTCGTCGTCGTCTTCGTCGCCGTCTTCGTCTTCGTCGTCTTCGTCGTCGTCTTCGTCGTCTTCATCTGTGGCGGCGGCACCAGCGGGGTAGGGCCTTCGCAGTCGTGGGCGGCGCGCAGGGGGGGGTATAGGGAGAGGGGGGAGGTCTTCTTAGAAGGAGGCTGCTTCTTAGAAGCCGCGGGCCTCACATCTACAGGCACGGCCCGCGGCTTCTGAGGAGCAGTTTCCTTCTCAGGAGCCCCCCCCCCACCCCCCTACCCCCCCTCCCCTGCGCGCCGCCAAGATCGGCCAATATCCGATCGTCTTCGGACTGGTGCTGTCGGCGATCTCGGGAACGCGCTGGTCTCGCTCAGGTCTCGGGCCTCAGAATCAAGCAGTGGCGAAGCGTCCTGGTTCGCCTACAGGCACGCAAATAATGTTCTCAGAACTCTTTGTGGTCTGCACGATATGTTCTTAGAACATTTCTGGCTGGGACTGTCTTGTTGCATTGTGTTTCTAAGAACATTCCTGGGTTCTAGGAATTTCGTGGTAGGCCTATAGGGATGCTGGGACGGTCGGTTCCTGCTCAACAGAAGTCCTGGAAGTCCTCGTGTGGGCTCTTGCGGGAATGCTGCGGAAAGCACGCCCAGTGGTTGGGAGCGTGTTCGGATAAGAAAGAGGCGGAGCAGGAAGAGGGATGAAGGGGAAGACGAGGAGCAGGAGGGGCGGGAGGAGCTGGAAGAGGAGGATGAGGAGGATGAGGAGGACGAGGGGGATGAAGCGATGGTAAGGAGGAGGAGGTGGAGAAGGAAGAGGAGGAGGAGGAGGAGGAGAAGGATGATGAAGGGCGGGGGGGGGGATGGGGAGGGGGAGGGGGAGGAGGGAGAGGAGGAGGAGGGGAGGAGGAGGGAGGAGGAGGGAGGAGGAGGAGGAGGAGGAGGAGGAGGAGGAGGAGGAGGAGGAGGAGGAGGAGGAGGAGGAGGAGGAGGAGGAGAGGAGGGGAGGGGAGGAGGAGGAGGAGGAGGAGGAGGAGAGGAGGAGGAGGAGGAGGAGGAGGAGGAGGAGGAGGAGGAGGAGGAGGAGGAGGAGGAGGAGGAGGAGGAGGAGGAGAGGAGGAGGAGGAGGAGGAGGAGGAGGAGGAGGATGGAGGAGGAGAGGAGGAGGAGGAGGAGGAGGAGGAGGAGGAGGAGGAGGATGAGGATGATAAAGATGATGATGATGATGAGGAGGAGGAGGAGGTGGATGAGGGAGAGCCACACTTTGATGGACGGAGGAGGACGTGAAACATGTGTGGGATATCAGAGATGGTGATGATAATTGTGATCATGCTGATGATGATGCTTATCATGATGCTGATGATGCTGCTGACGATGATGGTGATGATGATGTTGATGATGATTCTGATGATGCTGATGATGATGATCATGATGATGCTGATGATGCTGATGATGACGATGATGACGACACTATCAGTTATGACGATAATGATGATGACGATCATGCTGGTGGGGATGATGATCATGATGATGATGCCCATGGTGATGTTTCTAATGATGCCGATGTCAATGCTGATGCTGATGCTGATGATGATGCTGCTGATGATGAGGGGGATGATGAGAATCGTGAGTTGGACAAAGCAGAGGAGACGGAAGAGGAGGAGGATGAGGAGGGGGAGGAGGAGGAGATTGAGCCCCGGCAGCACCACCAGTAGCATCGGGTATGGGGGTGTTCATGACCACGATATCGATGGCTGTGATGACGCTGGCGACGACGATGATGACGGAGCTGATAGTAATAATGCTGCTGCTGCTGATGATGATGATGATGATGATGATGATGATGCTGATGCTCATGATGAAGATGGTCATGATGGTTATGATGGTGATGATAAGTATGACGGTGAGGATGATTGACGATTCTGATGATGGTGATGCTGATGATGATGATGGTGTTTTTGGTGGTGGTGTTGACGGTGGCGATGCTGACGGCGACGATGATGCGACGGTGGCGATGCTGACGACGATAAAACTGATGATGATGCTGATGATGATGGTGAGGATGAGGAGGATGAGGAGAATGCTGATGAGGACGATGATAATGATGTTGGTGATGCTGCTGCTGCTGATGACGATGAGATGAGGATGATGCTGATCGTGATGATGTTTCTGCTGCTGGTGATGATGCTGCTGGTGCTGATGATGCTGGTAAGGATGACCATGATCATGATGATAATGATGAGGATGATGACGAAGAAGAAGATGAAGCTGAAGATGAACATGATAATGGCGGTGATGATGCTGCTGATGCTGCCGATGCCGATGCCGATGCTGATGCTGATGCTGATGCTGCTGCTGCTGCTGCTGCTGATGATGATCATGATCATGATGAGGAGGATGATGATGATGACGACGATGAGGATGATGCTGATGCTGATGCTGCTACTGCTGATGATGATGCTGACGGCGATGATGATACTGCCACTGCTTATGATGAGGTTGCCAACGGTAATGATGATTATGTGGCTGCTGATGAGGATGCTGAATCAGATGTTGTTGATGGCGACGGTGTAAATTTTGATGTCGTCGTTGCTGTCACGGTTGTTGTCGTTGCTGTTGTTATTGCAGCTGGCGCTCTTGAACTATGCCCCAGTCGCCAGATGCCCTCGAGGCGGCGCCAGCCGAGATCCCCGGCCCGTGCACCGCCCTTCCTCGGAAACTGGAGCGTATGCATCACCAGTGGCAGGTGGCTTTTCAATCCCAGGATTTGTTTTTGAGGGTCAGGGACGACGTCGGGGTGGTTCGGTGTGTTCTTTTCCCCCCGTTTTCCAAGGGGAACAACGGACGGAAAATGTACACACCAGGATCCCGTATGCACCAGAATCCGCGCTTCTGTGCGAAATTCAGCGCGGTGTCGGGAGAAGCGTCGGCGTATAGAGTTCGGGAAGAGCCGGAGCGGCCAGGCCACATCCGTGGCTGGAGCCCTCGAGGCATGGAGCGCCATGCGACTCCTGGACTCCTGTGATGCTGGCACTTCTGCCCCCCTCTCCGCTCCGCCCTCCTTACCCTTGGTGCCTGATGCTTCCAGAGCGGAAGCACAACTGTCTGAGCGAAGGGGCCGAGCGGCCTTGCGCCATCCCTGGATCCAGGAGGGGAAAAACACACAGACACAATGCGTTGTCGCTTAACCAGGCAATATGGGAAACTATGGGTAGTGGGGGGGAAGACAGAAACCCAGAAAACATGGGAAAATATGGGGAATCCTGTTATTTGTGTCTATTTGTTTGTGTGTCTCGGGGCCCCTTCATGGATGCGTGCCTCAGGTAGTTCTTGTTGATCCCCCCATGGTGTTTTTTTGAGTTGAGGTGCCCCTCTCGCGGCGCGCACCCCTTTTTGACAAGGGAAAGTCTTGCGCATCAGGCTGGCCCCCTGGCCCCCGAACTGCAACAGCAGCGGTTCCCGCTGGATATCTCCTCACAACTCATCTACGTCGCGCTCTCTCGAGCGGGAAGCCCTCACAATCTATCTATGCGGCGCGCCCTCGCGCGGGCCTTCCCTCGCAGTGTGTGTCCATACGCCGCGCCCTCGACGCTCAGGAAATCACGCTCTGGCTCTGGACTTCCCTCGCGATCTGCCTGGGAAATCGCCCTGTCGCCCGAGACTTAGGTCGGGCCTGTCCCCCCACAGGGGGATTTTCGACGAAAAATAAAACAATACCCCCAGAATAGTCAAACAATAGTCCAAAAATTGTCGGGGGACTATTGCGAAGGCCTGACGGCCGGTGCCGCCGACCCTGTTCGCAATGCGCAGCAAGAGATTACGAGGTTGCTCAAGGTCGGCTTGGCTGGAGCCCAGGGGAAGAGGAGTCCCAGGGGGGGGCGTCGTATCTGACCCGGGGGGGGGGTCGCTACCCCCCCCCCCCTCCCGGCGGGGGAGGGATCAAAGGGAAGGGGCTTCCCTTCGACTCAATTACGACGTTGCTCAAGGTCGGCTTGGCTGGAGCCCAGGGGACGAGGAGTCCGGGGGGGGGGGCGTCCGTATCTGACCCGGGGGGGGGGGTCCTCGCACCCCCCCCCTTTCCCGGCGGGGGAGGGGATCAAAGGGAAGGGGCTTCCACTTCGCTCATTACGAGGTTGCTCAAGGTCGCTTGGCTGGAGCCCAGGGGACGAGGAGTCCCAGGGGGGGGCGCGTATCTGACCCCGGGGGGGGGGTCGACACCCCCCCCCCCCCTCCCGTCGGGGAGGAGCAAAGGGAAGGGGCTTCCCCTTCGACTCACAATTACGAGGTTGCTCAAGGTCGGCTTGGCTGGAACCCAGGGGAAGAGGAGTCCCAGGGGGGGGCGTCGTATTTGACCCGGGGGGGGGGTCGACACCCCCCCCCCCCTCCCGGCGGGGGAGGGATCAAAGGGAAGGGGCTTCCCTTCGACTCAATTACGAGGTTGCTCAAGGTCGGATTGGCTGGAGCCCAGGGGAAGAGGAGTCCCAGGGGGGGCGTCGTATCTGACCCGGGGGGGGGGGTCGACACCCCCTCCCCCCTCCCGGCGGGGAGGGATCAAGGGAAGGGGGCTTCCAAAAATTCGACTCATTACTAGGTTGCTCAAGCGGCTGCTGGAACCCAGGGGAAGAGGAGT